TGACTTTGACAAGCACTGTGGCAATTGGACAATTAAAACAGACATTCGGATGGCGGGGAAAGAGGAACAAACTGGGGAGGAGGGTAGAGAGAATGGTGCAGCAATGAAGGAATGAAAACCCAAAATCCTTGCAAATGTTCATTAAAACTAATAAAATTTAATAATTAATAAAAAAAGTGGAATAATGAGGTACTAGATTATATCATCCAGTTACTTTATTTTACATACAGGTAATTTTATTTCTAAGGAAGCAACAAAATGACACACCTTTTTTTTTTGTTATGGAAAGAATTATTCCAGATCTCTAAGGTACAGAAAAAAGTACCTAATACTAAAGCATTTAAGCAAGAATAACACAATTTTCAATAATTCTATATAGTACAGTTTAAAAATTTCCCATTCAAGTCACAAATAGGTATTTGTGAACTATGTAAAGCACCAATAACACTTACTACTTACTGATATTTTCTGTGCCAGAAAACATTAAGTTCTCTATTTATTCTTCTTGTTTATTCCTTACAAAAATATCATTATTTCTTCTTGTTGTTGTTGCTATTGTTAAGTGCTGTGTGAGTTGAGTACAACTCATAGCAACCCTATGAACAGCACATCTGAAGTGTGCCCTACCCTATGCCATTGTTATCATCTCTGATACATTTGACCCCACTGCTGCACTCAGTGTACCAATCCATCTCTTGAAAGTATTCCTCTTTCCCCAACCTTCCATCTTCCCAAACATGATGTCACATTCCAAGGAATAGCCTTTCCTAACCAGAAGCTCAAAGTATGTAAGATGAAGATTCACATCCTTGCTTTTAAGAGACAATCTGGCTGCTATTTCTCCAAGACCTGTTTGTTCTTTTTACAGTCCATGCAACACTCAGGAATCTTCTGCAAAAGCACTACCTAGCTCTCAGATGCATAGCAGGTGACTGAAAAGACCACGGTTTGAATCAGGTGCATGTTAAGCTGACATCACTGTTCATCAGTATTCTGACAGACTTTCCCAGTGCTATATTTCTTTTGATTTCTTTACTGCTAATATCAATCGTGTTGACTGGATCTAAGCAACATAAAATCACTGACAATTTCAATCTTTTCTCAAACTATCATGATGTTGCCTACTAGCCCACTGATAAGGCTCTTTGTTGTCTCGATGTTGAGATGTAATACATTTTGAAGGCTATAGACTTTTATATTTTGCAACAAGTTGTTTCAAGGCCTCCTCACTTAAAGCAAGCAAATTTGGGTCCTGTGTATAGTGAAGGTTTCTGATGACTCTTCCTCTGATCCTGTTAACACATCCTTCTTCATAAAGTCCAGTTTCTCGAATGATTTGCTGAATGTACAAAGGTATGAAGAGAGAACAGAACCCTGATGTACACCTTTCTTGATGTTAAACTCTGAAGTGGTCCCTTGTTCTGTTTGAACAACGGCTTCTTGGTCTAGGTGTTTCAGATGGGCACAATTAAGTGTTTTAGAATTCCCATTAGAGAAATATTATTACCTAAATTTATAGAAATGAGAATTAATACCTGGAGAATTTTCTTAAGATTGTTGTGGCTGTTATGTGCCATCGAGTCGTTTGCGACTCATAGCGACCCTATGTACAACAGCCCTAAACCGTGCTCTATCCTGCGCCAATCTCATAGTCCCCGACACACCCATACCGAGTACCCCAGTCACTGAATCAATCCATCTCATAGAGGGAGGGTCTTCCCCTCCTGCGCTGTCCCTCTACTCTATCCAGCATGATGTCTCTCTCTAAAGACCTGTCTCTCCTTACAACATGTCCAAAGTATGTCAGACGAAGCCCCAGAATCCTTGCCTCCAAGGAGCAGCCTGG